GGAGACCCTTCTCAGGCCCAAATCATTGATAAAAATTAAATGACAGGAGTCAATTGATATGTTTAGGTCCACCTAACGGTGATTCGACGGATGGCCAATACTATTTTTTTCACTTCATCAATATTTTCGTCTGTTGTTGACGTGCTTGGGCGTCCGACACGCTCTTTCTCGTTCACATCTTCTCGTACAACCGATAAACGTTGCTTCGGTCCAAAGCAGCTTCACCATATGCCACAGTTAATATTCGGAATGCGTCCGGACACTTAATGTTGTTTTTCACACAAAATTTGATACAGGTTTTTTGGAATAGGCAAAACTCGAGGACTAGCCAAAACACGTGCAAACAGAGGTCAAAAATTAACTGAACATTCAAGGTCAAACGTGTCGGTATGAGTGAGAGGTATGAGTACCAACATAAAGCCACAAAAAAATCGAAAATACATAACCCGAGGAAATTCAAAATTCGCGATACTTTTTAAACAGACCTTGTACATAGGTAGGTGTACGAAACCGATCGGAATAATTGGGACATATACAATACATAATCATTAGCATCAATATGCACGGTATTTTAATTCTGACTCTTAGAGTTGTTCCGTTAGAATAAATGTGCATTCCATCATATACTTACTTTTTTTCGTGTCATTCCATCAGTGATTCCTATTTTGTGCGCTTACCTTTACACTCCAAGTCCTGCATTAGCGTGGTGCATGCTACTGAGATATAGTCCATTCACTTAAAGAAAGGTAGAGCATGGGCGATGCCCACAAACGAATATCAGTCGCAAGTGGGGCCCTGGAATATGACCGGTCATTTAATTCTAACAGTTACGTCAATTATGACAGTTAGGGTACATCGATCTGGCATCGTGTATCTTACTCTAATTGAATGTACTTCCAGAATTTATTATCGATATTTAACTACTTTTTGCTTTTGGTTGAAAGAAGAGAAAATAAACAAGGACGAACGAAAGAAGGAGGAAAAATGGTAGAAAAGAACAAAAGAAGAAAGAAGAAAGAAAGAAATAAAAAACTCCCACGTCTACTGTTGGTTTCAAGAAGTTAGAGATATGCCCCTTCCCTTTATTAGGATGCGCCGTAGCATAATTCCAAAATCAATCATATTTGTCTGCGGAGCTCATTTCTCCACCGATCATCGAGCGAGAACTAGACAAAAGTGTACAGTACCATTTGCAAAATTATTTAAACTGCCTCGTTAAAATTTAAGAATATGCTTTATTTAAAAGCATATTTAGCCAAAAATAATAACAAGTGAATTAACTTAACGTTCTACACACCTATAAAACTTTTGCTTTGTTTTCTATTGTTAATTTATATACATTTTTGTTTTAAGAAATTGCTAAACATTTTCGTCTAGTACTGTACAGTTCTAGCCGATCTCCTAAGACCGCCCATCGAGAGCTCTGCTCGTTCAAGCTTGTTCCAACTATTTCTGTCTTGCTCACGCCTAGTGTGTATTCTTTCTATCTTCGTGCAGTTTTCTTCAGGGTTACAATTCTAACAAATTGAAATAGACTGTATATATATGTATGTAGGTGTATGGATTTGAAAGAAAAACCGTCGTGTCGACCGTATGTCGAATATTTTTTATTTATTTTCAACCGACTCAGGCGAAACCCATTTATCAAGCTTTATTGGTCTTGGAGTTGCTGCCCGAAATTTGAAATCTGTCGTTTCACTTGCTTCCATGTACGGTACGTTTTCTAATCTATTTCTTGATCAGATTTTTCTGACAGTCCCTTTAGAACTACTTTCCTCTATAACAACTGATCAAATTTAATCATAAAGGAAACTGTGACAAATCGTGGAAGTTATCCGATAAGACGAAATGGAGACGTGGCCAAATCCATTGTAATTTTCTGTGAAATACATTCAACTACGAGGAGGGCGCCTTAAAATACGTGACCACAGAAACCGGTGGAGTGTATGTCCCGTGAAATGCACCCGTGCCATTAAAAAATGAAAAAATAAGAAAGAGGGTTGTGCTAAATTGTGCTAGTTTTAGGTAACGGACAAGATTAAAATTATTTTAGCTTGAGTGGCTGGGCAGTTATAAAACATCCCCAGTAGCACAACAATATTGGTAAAATATTATATTTACATATTGGTTCAATGATGCGCAAACGTCAGATTTTTTTTATTAGCCCAATGTAGATTTTTAATATTAACCCAATATTGAAATTATTGTTCCAATGTTAGGAAATAATAAGTGTGCAATATTTATTTTAAAAATACAGCCAATATTTGTTTTCCAGATTGGTTCAATGTATATTTTATATATAGTCACAATATACCTGTCATGTATACATAGGCACAATATCTAATATTATGTATTAATAAGTAGCTTAAAAGAAATAATTACTTTTTTAATGTTTCAAAAAGTTTTAATTAAACCCACATTTATTTAGGCATATTATGCCTTTATCAAAGAGTACAGATAATAAGTACCTATTAATATTCATTATTTGTACTCTTGAGAAAGGCTTAATATGCCGAAGTAAATTGTAAAGTCTAATTTAAGCTCTTTGAAACATTAAAAAAGCAATTATCTCTTCAATATTGCTGGTTCCGATTTGTTACTTAATTATCAAATAGACTAGTTGAGTCCTTTCAAATTTTGGACTGTGGGGGCGTTGTCGAGGCGCGTAGCTCTTCATTCATGCCGTTTTGAGAAATCATTGCCAAAATAATATTTTTTATTAGCAGTCAGTATATGGGGTTTGTAGATTTAAAAAAGGCTTTTGACAATTTTAAATGGGACAAGATATTAAATATACTTAAAAATCTAGGGATGAGTTACACAGATAAAAGAGCGATACTTATTTTGTATAAAGAGCAAGAGGCAGTTATTGACCTATATCTGACAGGGACGCACACTGTCACCGCCACTTTTTAATCTACACATCGAAGACGCGATCAACATCATTAAAGACAGTACAACTGCAGGGACAGATATACAGGGGCAAAAGATTAGTATGCTTAGATTTGCAGATGATATAGCAGTATTAACATCTAGCAAGGAGTTAGAGATAGCTTTAAATAAAATGGAAGCGGTATTAACAAAACAGTATTGTATGAAAATAAATAAAAGTAAAACAAAACTACTGGTATGCAAGGGAAGAAAATGTAGGGAAAGAGCGAATATAAAGAGGAACTGGCTGACTTTAGGCATCTAGGAGATCAGATAAGTCACGACAGAAGGAGTAGTAGGAATATAAAGCAGAGGATAGCGCAGTGTCGAGTCGCCTTCAATAAAAAGGAGTCACATCAATGCTCGCGAACTATTAATTTAGAGAAACTAAAAATATTGTTAAAGGTGTACGTTTGGAGCGCGGTGCTGTACAGGTGCGAAACGTGGACAGTGGGCGCGGCGGAAAAGAAAAGGTTAGAATCATTCGAAATGTAGTGTTACGAGTGAATGATGAGGATACCGTGGATAGAGGTTAGGTTAGGTTAGGAAATGAAAAGGTTTTAGAAAGAATAGGAGAACAGAGGACTCTAAGAAAGTCAATAAGAAATAGGGCAGATAGGTTGGTAGGACACCTGAAGGCTTGTAGGTCTAGTCAGAGACATATTAAAGCAGAAGCAGGAGTTAGGAGGAGTAGATGTAGACCTAGTTTAGATTACTGTTCACAAATAGTTAGGGATGTGGAATGTTCTAATTTTAGGGAAATGCGAAGATTAGCTTAGGATAGGAAAGAGTAGAGGTGCGTGTTCAACTAGTCTTAGGACTGACAACCTTATGATGATGAACAGTTAGAGTAAATGTTGGCATATTCGCATTTAAACTAGCCAATTTTTGCCATTTGTTTAGTTCCATCTGGAACGACTTAGGTACAAGAAAATTGGCGAATTTTAAGTAAAAATTCCGCATAAATGGTAGCGTTCTGTTTATCGTAAGTTGCTCAGTTATTTAGATTTATACTTTTATTAGATGCTCTTCAATATCTCATATTAAGGTCATCAGTTCTAAGACTGATTGAAAACTCACCTCCATTCCGTCAAACACCTTTAACAATCTTTTTCAAACGTTACGTAACCTAACATTAATAATCTGGTCTACTAATCATCATCATCATCATCAACCATCAAGTTATTTTTGTCTGGAACCCCAATATTATAGTTTTACTAATAGGCACCGAGAGATGTGTGATGTCGTGGAACACCCGGTAGGAATTATGTTTCTTATGATATTCGACAAATTTCTGCGGAAAGGAATTTCGGTAAAAACACTAGAAAATAAAAAAAGAAACAATACAACGTGTAATTATACAACAAGCTACTGAAGTGAAACTTCTTGAAACACACAAACATACCGGGATAGGGGTTAAGGAATTGGTTTAATGGTATTATTTGTACACTATGAGTTTAAATTTTACACTACACATGCCGGAGTTGCCTGTAACGAAGGTTGCATTGAAGCGCGCTCACGACTCAAGCGAGCCCCATTACGAACTCGACTACGTGGCCGAGTAGAGGGGGGACATCCGTTGCATTATTTCGTTACACAGCAACTCGCATGAAATGAACTTACCCTACCGTTCCTAAAGCAGATTCACTTTAAAAAAAATCATGTGACAACGCTGATTTTTGCTAGCGTATCATGTGATAAGGAATTTCATTCCAGAATAACTCCAAATGATTGTATTGATTTTTATTAATGTTATTGAAGCAATAATTAGTGGCTCGTGTATGGACTTTTCTTTTCTCTTATTTCTTAATTCGATTTTCGAAGTTGTTATTAAAGTTCCAGTAAATTTTACTCTAATGCTATTTCTTGTGATCAAAGCCAATTCCCATCACAAAACTTTTTCTGACGCTACGTATGAGTTTAATAAGTTTCCGCGTGTACCGCGTCGCAATTTTAAAACGTTTTCGGTCAACGCGGAAAGTGCTGATGATTCGTCGATTTCGCGAAAATGAACACAGGAAGATGAAGTAGAACAGACGACAAGCGGCGCATTGTATGCGCATGGGTCTAGAACTACGGTATAAAATATGATTTCGGCTGGCGCGACTCAGTGTTTTTTGATTTTTCGGACAAATACCGAGGGTACCGGCACATTCAAAAATGCGCGCGATGGTATGAAGGATCGCGAGTTATCTTTTGAACGATGAATAACGTTTCGACCGTCTCGTATGACGTCTTCGGCGATGAAAACCTCAACTCCTTCTACTTTTATGAGGTGAGGAAAATTGTGCTAAATTACAATTATTTACCAGAAAAAAACTATTTTTGATTTATTTTTATTGATGTATAAAATAACTGAAAATAACTGGATACAATTGGTACAAACACTAATATAGTATTTAATTTAAATTCAAAATTTTTTCTTTAGTTTTTCTTACTATTTAAAATTTATTAGGTACTTATTAATATTCAAGGAAGCGAAAGTAAAGTTTCAAAAACATACATTAATTATACACAACAATTGTTTCGCCATAACATTGGCTTCTTCAGGCGAAGATATTCTGATTAAGATTATTACAAAATTATTATAAATATTAGATGTTTACAAATAAATGATCAAATTAATGTAAATAGTTCTTAATTATTAAATTTAAAATTGTCTTCAAAAACTTAATATCTTACTTTTATCTCTCCCTTTAATTGTTCCCACCCCATAAGTTTTGCAAACTTTCACTATTTATGCTAATTTTGTAACAATCAAAATACCTTCACCTGAAGAAGCCAATGTTATGATGAAACAATTGTTGTTAACAATTAGCATGTTTTTTAAAATTTTACTTTCGTTTCCTTTAATTGATTATGAAGTTTCAGCCAGTAAAGCCTTTTATCATTGATTAGGTACTCATTAAAATTGTAATGAGTAAATTTATAACTATACCTAATTAAAAATTTGAATTTGTAGATAAAACTTATTGGACATTAAGCATGTTTAGAAACTAAAACTTATTATTAAGGTTAAACCGTAATAAAAGTTGTAAAGAAGAACAAAAAGTTTTTTGAAACTGATAGATAACTAACTACAGATATTCTTTAGGATTGAAATGATTGCTAATGCTACGAGATATATCGCGTAAACTTTGTCTCATAATTT